TAAGCAGTGCAACATAATATGTAAATGCTTCAGTAACACATATGACTCTCCTTTCCTGGATGGGGCAACTGTGTTGGTATGGATCTAAAGGGATGGCACCACTAAGCAATTAGGCTTGGTCAGTAGGAGTTTTGATTTTTTTTCTTTCAAAACCAAAACCCAATACATCATAAAATTGCTTTTGAAAATCACATCAGCTGACATATGGCCATGGAACTGCTGTTTAAAAGCCCTCCCTGGATGCATCAAACTAGTTGTAAGATTCTTTGGCTCCAGGTCCATCACAAGCACAAAGTGATATGGTAAACTTTGACAGCCAAAGGGAGTCACTGAAAAGCCATTTCAATTACAATAATGGATATGTGACACAATGAGAACAACTTTTTGAGAACTCTACAAAGTGCGAGCATTAAACAATTTGGAGTCTTGCAGTTCTCTGTGTCAATATATATCTGGCCAGCTTTGGTTTGTGGTTTTTCTAAAATCTGGAACTTTCACAGTACTGAGAAGTAGCATTGGAACCTAAAATGATCTTCAGAACAGAAATTAGGTGCAAAAGTATTCACCTTTCACTGCCATGAATATGCTGCTTTTCAAAGGAGGTTCAAAACATAAATATCTTTCTATAGCTACCCTAAGGCTTTTACTGTGAAATGTGTGCTTATCAGGAACCTATAGCAGCCCAAGCAAGATGTTTCATCTAGTTTGCCAAAAAAATCAGATTTAACCTCTCATACAACTGTAAATTTCTTTGGCAGAACAGTTTGCAGTTTCTTACCAAAACAGATAAACCTGTAGCAAACATAGTTGAAGGCAGCAGAGAGAGAACATACTACAAATTCAACTATTTGTGCTACTAGAATTCAAACATTTGTGCTAACTATAGATGTTGCAGCTTTTTTGCCCAACCTCTGTATGATGTCACTATTTCACAAACAGGATTTCAATCACAAATGAAGACTGCCCGGTGATGTTAGGCATTGTGAGTAGCAATCAAATGAGGTTTAATTTGAGCTGGTTTAAATTATACAGCATGTAGCCAATCAATAACCAGAAGACACAACATTTTATGATGGGGGAGGCAAAAGCGGGAAGCTGGAAGATTGGGGGGCGAGGGTGTTAAATTTTGCTTTTTTTATGTTTAGCCACCTTTTCTACTGTAAAAGGGGCCTTCTGAAATTCTTTCCATTCAGTTCTCTGTTTGTTCTCTTAAGTCTAATAAATGTGGGTGGAAAGAGGTTATTGCACATTTGATGAGTATTTAGAAGGGCAATAAAATTATGCATTTTCAGTTTGAAGTCTGGAACATTTTTGGTGAACTTTTTGTCCTTCAGATCAGTTGTTTTGCCTACATGCTGTCAATGCTTATGTTTGGACAGACCATATCAAGCTGCTTTATTGCTATTTTACAAATACGCTGATGTGTTTTGGTCCTTTCATGCAGTCCAGTTAAGTTCATTCACTTTCATTAGCAAACCAAAATGAACAAGGAACCATTAACCTTAATGAAATTAGGCTTATTTTTGAGTCTTATTTTTTTAACAACAGTTTAACAAATTCCTAACACAGACAGAGGCTATGACAGAATGGCATTTTTATTTCCCACTAGGAATCCCTTTATAAATATAGGATTTCACTGAAAAAGAATAAAGCAACATGGCCACCATGAATGCATCAGATTTTAGGTTTTCTACATCTCCAGGTATAGACCTTCTTGCTACCTTCTACAAAACAGGACTGACTGGGAATTTCCCACACATTTTCATGTACTGCAGTGGATGAATGTCTTCTATAATACTTTGGGCACATCCTGGATTAAGAGTCAGAAAAATTAACAGCTTTAAAATTCTTATGGTGGCAACTTTATTGTACTAAGTAGCCTTTCGCCTTCTTAAAACTCAAAAGATATAAATAATGTGGACTTCCATATTTTAAGCTTATGTGTAACAATAGGGCTTGGTTTTTCTTCTAAAACATTTTCCCCCAGTCTTTGTGCAAAGGCCTATTCCACATAAAGAATGGCAGGTTTCTAAACTTTATATCTATCTATCTCTATATAACAGATATTTATAAGTTTGTCTGATATGGATATGTTTAAACTGCTTGTAAAGCCCTAAAAGGCTTGCAAAACATGGAGAAATAGAAGGCAATTCCTGAATACTCAGAACAAATTTAGAACATAAATGGGAACGTAATCCGAATTTATCACAGTAGTGAAGCAGAGTGAGTCTTTTTGGTTTCAAAATGAAGAAAGTTGGCAACATCACAGAGCTGACTGAAGTGTTTTTGCCAGATTAAAGGCTGGTCTATCAGCTAGGGTTCTGTTCTCCCCAGGGTTGCCAGCCTCCAGGAGGGGCCTGGAAAACCCCCAGAATTACAACTAACCTCCGACTACAGGGATCAGTTCCCTTGGAGAAACTGGCAGCTTCAGAGGGTGAATCCTATAGCCTGCTGAACTCCCTTACCAAACTCTACCCTCCCCAGGCTCCACCCACAAATCTCCAGGAATTTCCCAACCTGGCCATCCACTCCCAGTATTATCTTCAAAACATAGCATGGCCTGTGTAAAAACGATTTAGTAAAAAAGATGGGAAGGCAGAGTCCTTCCTTCAAAAGCCCTTTAAATATTTCTGTAGGAAATTGCCTTGGTCCCTGTTTACATTTTGCCTTGAGTCCTGGTTGTAAAGAACTCAGTCTGAGGAACTACAGCAGGGCAGCTAAGGGGGGGGGGAAGTGAGAGGAAGCCACCCATTAAATGCCATGCCTAATGGCAGAGAAACAGCAGAAGCAGTTGCAAATGCCTTGTGGATTATAATGTGATGCCTTACTTTCACTTCACAATTGTCTGTGGAGTTTGGGAGTAAAAAGTTATTTAAAAGCCTAACCTATCAACATAATTTTTCAAATTGTTAAAAGATGTAGCTTTCTTGATGTGATAACTCCACAAAACTATCTGACTGGTCCAGTTCACAAGATGAATTCCATTTGTGTCATGGCACAGATATCAGCTCTCATATAATAGCCCAGTAAAATCAAATATTAATCAGGCAAATATAACATCAGGAAATCACCTTGATGGGATTTGGCCATTTTTGGATTAAATTTGGATTTTTGGATTGAATTTGGATTAAATAATTTCAGTACTATTCTCAAACCATTAATTCCAACAGCAATTTCAGTCAAGAACATTAGAAATCAGTGGGTTGCACTGAAACAGGACTACGTTAGAAGGAGATGAATTCAACGGCAGTCCTCATTAATGCTGTATCTACATTAAGGTATAAACTGGTTTTTACACTGGTGGGACTATTTGGCTTTCCCTATAAAACTCTAGTACTGTTGCAGCCCTCTATGTGTTCGTTCAGTCAGTCAGTCAGTCTCTTTATTGGCATACAGCCGTTTAGTCTTTCAGAGAAGGAAAGTTTCCAAGTTCTGAAAGAGCACCACTTCTCAAATTGCGGCTCGAGAACAGACATAACTTGTAGTTTCTATCCAATTGCCTTGGGGTAATATATCTTGAGTGAATTGCTTAAAATAACTAGGCTGGGGAATCACATCTTAAGACCCCAGTATGTGTACTGGCACATCTACCAATGAAGCTGGTATAGGATTGCAGCAATATCAGCACAATAACCTTTGTCTCATTACAGTATCAGGACCTGGCTGTTTTTCTTCTACAGTCATCAGCTCCCTTGTCCCATACTTTTTAAAAAAGATATAGATTAGTCTTAATGTATATTTCGAGATGCCATTTAAGTAGATTCTGCCTGTTCTGGAAGTGTGCTGAAATATCACAAATTCATGAAGTTTTCTTATCACGTATTTTATCATGGTATTAAATATGGGTTCTGTTATTAAGAACCTTATGAAAAGGCTCATTGTTCCTGTCTACTGGATGATTTGCAAATATTTATAACGAGGCTGTTATAAATACAAAAATAACCCATCTCCACGCTACATACTAAACTCCAATTTTGTTTAGAGTTAAATATATGAATATAAAAGAGTGCAAAAATGTGATGTTTGGTAACATTCCTGGAACTTCCAAACAGCTAGACAGTGTTTCTCCAAACCTCTGTAAGAAAGGAAACAATAACAAAAAAACTTCTCAATCTGAGACACTGCTGTCTCAAATTTTGCAGGTTATAAGTTTTTTTTTACAGCCAAGATACAAACCCCTGTAAAAATGGGATTTATAATGAATATGTTCTCTGGACTCTTAGTTACAGCAGTACATATATGTTCCACTATAATACACATATACATTATTATCTACTTTCTCAGGATTGTTACCCAGAGAATGCTTTTTATTTATAAAAAACTCATTAATATTAAAAAGTCGCACTTATCTTGCACCTTCCCCCATAAAGAGTATAATTTTGCACAATTCTAAAAGCTACAGCGACGACTACAATTAACATTCAAGAATACATTCAAGAAAGAGAAGAAATGACAATTACTTAGACTGAAACACACTAACCATTATATTGGGACTTAAAACAGCAGCAGCTGATGGAAAATGTGATCCATTCAGTTTTTTAGCTTATTCAAGATCATATCACTGAACCCAGATATTTTAACATCTGTAGCCTGGACATTCTGAGCACATCAGTAAATTCTTTTAAGCTTTGTGCCACATCATTAGGCATTAAGAGCCATAGCCTCCTTCAGTTTTCTGTACAACATGGGCCTGCTTGCCACAGAGAACAAAATATAAATTATATTAGTTGGAAGTAAATTCCCAACATGGTTTAATGGCTACAACCAAACTAATGGTATCACCTGTTTTAGATATGGTTCTTCTTTCAGTCCATAGCTTTAACCCTTTTCCTGAAAATGAATCAAGAAATGAATACAAGGAAAAAAACCAGAAACACAATCAAGGCTCTCTTTGTACATTGCACATATACACAAAGGCAACAATTTCTAACCCTTTTCTTCCAGTGCAAACAAATTTATTGGCTGTTCTGCTGCATAGCCTAATTTCAGATTTCCCCCCCTGTAAATTACGGAGCTGTGACACCAGTGACCTAATGCAAATATAAGATATCAGAACAGAGGAAAGAAAGACAAGCTGGTTTCAGTGAGTTCTCTCAGAAGAACCTCGTGAAGACAACGCAAAGAGAAAGGCACAAGGCTCAGATCTCGTTGATAGTCCTCTCAGAAGGGCAGTACTCCGAGGTCCCTGGGGACGACATGTAGAACGACTGGGTTTTCCTTTTTAACCTGGCTCGCTTGTTCGCCAGGGAGAGGCTTCGCCGACTTGAATTAATTATTTCCGAGATGAACTTTTTGCAGTCCACACACACCTCCATGGTGCTCCAGTCCTCCATTAGCTCTTTGGGAAACAGTGCCTCTTCATCAGATTTATCTACGGATTTGGACTTTGAGGACAACCTGAAAGCAAGAAAATAATTCCATTCTCATTAGCATCTTTCCCATTGCACTCAAGAAGTGATTTTTTAATATGCTAGAATAACAAAGTAATATCTCTCAAGTCTTTTTCTAATTCCTGACATAAGAAAAGGAAAAAGGTAATGATTTAGGAACGAATCTGACATGGTGGTCAAGTGGTATTACAATGGTATTACAAACTGCATTCAGTTGTTACAATAAACTGGTTTATTTTAATCACCATTTGTTGCATAATCCTTGTTTAATCTAACAGATGTGTATAAAAGATCAAAGTTTGTTTATAAATCCCAGTTAGTCTGTTGTTCTGTCCTTTTGAAAAGTACTGGGTTTTACGCATGGAGAACTCGGACTACGACATGCGTTCAGACGCGTTTATTGTACTTCACAACAAGACAAGGAAAAACAGCCCTGCAAGGCCAACTATATACATGCCATCCAGCACACCTCTGTCCCGCCAAGGGTGCTATTGGTGGACTCGAGGTGGACTAGGATCCTAGGTCCCCTTTGTGTTTGGGGACCAAGCTCCTGCTTTAGCCGAGGACCCCTGGTGGCGGTCCGCGTACATAACACCTTTCCTAAGAAAAAGAGTTGGATTTATACCCCACCCTTCACACGGAGTCTCCAAGCGGCTTACAATCTCCTCCCCCCATAACAGACACCCTGTGAAAGAGCCCTGAAAGAACTGCTCTTGAAAGAACAGCTCTGAGAGAACTGTGACTGACCCAAGGTCACCCAGTTGACTGTATGTGAAGGAGTGGGGAATCAAACCCAGTTCTCCAGATTAGAGTCTGCTGCTCTTAACCATTACGTCCTACCAGTTTGGTGTAGTGGTTAAGTGCGCGGACTCTAATCTGGGAGAACCGGGTTTGATTCCCCACTCCTCCACGTGCACCTGGCTGGAAGACCTTGGGCAAGCCATAGTTCCGATAAGAGCTGTTCTTGAAAAAAAGAGCAGTTTCTGTCAAGAGCTCTCTCAGCCCCACCTACCTCACAGGGTGTCTGTTGTGGGGAGGGGAAGGGAAAGGAGTTTGTAAGCCGCTCTGAGACACCTTTGGGTAGTGAAGGGCGGGGTATAAATCCAATCTCTTCTGAAAGCCATCAGAGAGGCTGGGCCAGCAGCATCGCTAAGGTGATGTTGCTGGGGCAGCGTCCCTGATGGATTAAAGTACCCTGCTCCTGCTCCTATACCTGACAGACGTCTGCCTGTCTGATGTTGGGGGGAGATCATGTTTAAAGGCATCAGGGAGGCTGGGCCAGCAGCAGGGTGAAGGTAATCTTGCTGAGCAAACCTCCCTGGCGGCTGTAAGCATCTCACCTCCTTTCCTACACTTGACAGGCAGCTGCCTGTCCAGTGTAGGAGGGGGAGGGGGAAGGAGTATTAGAAGCTACTGTGGAGATGGGGCCGGCAAGATCACTAAGGCATTACTGCTGGGGTGGGCTGCCTCGTGGCTTTAAGCACCCTGCAACTGCTGCTGTACCTGACAGACAACTGCCTGTCAGGTGTAGGAGGGGGGAGCATGTTTGAAGCCATAGGGAGGCTGGGCTAGCAGCTTTGTTTCACCTCACAGGCAGTTGGCATCTACTTCATGGTAGGAGCACTCTCCCCAAATTTGGGAAGTAGATGAGTATCTACTTCATGGTAGGAGCACTCTCTCCAAATTTGGTGTCTCTAGGTCCAGTGGTTTGGCCTGGGCATTGATTTTACGGTGAGGGGACTTTCTTTTATATATATAGATTAGTAGATTTGTATAGTTCACCAATTAAAAATAAGACATAACAAAACAATTTTATGATTAGTGAGTACAAAAGCATAACACGTAAATCCACATCTGCAAGAAATAATAATGGAATTACGTTCCAAAAGACAAGCCATACTAGGCTCTTGAAACAAAACTTTGTCATTCTAAAATCTTAGAAATTGAGGCATGAACATCGGATGCACTTTACTCTGGACAGTTGATGTACTTCTCTTAGACTACTTCACTATTGGGAAAAAAAATGCAAGGTAAAGTTTTAGGATGTAAATATAATGTCCACAGGCATTTTAAAAATGTAACACTTGGGATCCAAAGAAGTCACTCCAGAATGGTGCTTACTCAAACATATGGCAGAGATTCCAAATACACTTACAAATTTTGTATTAAATGTTAGAACCACTGCTTGTTTAGTATTTGCCTGCTATGAGAAGAAATTATTAGCACTATGAGTGGATGGATCATTTAAAATAATTTCGTATGACCAAAGTAACAACCTCAGTTAAGAAGGAGAATCTGAATAAATTATGTGTATGAAAAGCAGCATTGTATGGAAAATGGAAAATGAATTGTTATGTAAATAATCTAGTTAACGCAACAAAATCATGATTTACAAAAGTAAAAAAGTAAAAAAGTAATTTCTTATAGATTAGCTTTGTAGAAGCTTAAAAATCATCTTATGTCTTTGTGTAAGACATAACAAAACAATTTTATGATTAGTGAGTACAAAAGCATAACATTGAATTACGTTCCAAAAGACAAGCCATACTTGGCTCTTGCAACAAAACTTTGTTTCTGTCATTCTAAAATCTTAGAAATTGAGGCATGGACATCGGATGCACTTTACTCTGGACAACTGATGTACTTCTCTTAGACTACTTCAAAATTGGGAAAAACATGCAAGGTAAAGTTTTAGGATGTAACCAGAAAGAGAAGCCCGTTATTGGATAGGACTACTCTAAATCTAGTTAAGGCTATGATACTGGCGGGAAAGGCAGTTATAGCTCTGGGTTGGAAAAACAAAAGTAAATGGACAATATAAATCTGGCATAACTATTTGTTTGACTTTATACAGTCAGATATCATGGCGTCAATCAACGAGGGAACAACATGGGAAGAAAAATCCACGGAAATCAAGACCAGATGGAAGACCTACCTAGATTGGATACTGAAAGAAAGAAGAAAAGACATTCAATGGAAGATTAAGACTTTGTGCCCATGGCTGGGGTGAAAAGACTAAGATAAAAAGGAAGGGAGGGAGGGAGGAAAGGGGTGAAATTGTAAATAGCTACAAATATTCGATGTAACAAACTAAACAAACAATCAAAATATATTTATTAAATAAAAAGGATGTAACCAGAAAGCTGGACAGTAAAAGACAAACATTTTTAAATATAATGTCCAGGGGCATTTAAAAAATGTAACACTTGGGATCCAAAGAAGTCCAGCACAAAGAAAGTGGTGATCCCAGTTTTCCCATCTGGCAGGAACACCTTGTGCTTCAAGGAATGGCATTTCAGAGGCTCCATGGACAATGAGAGCATGCTTTTGGGGAGTGTGGGGGATGCCATTGGAATGGGGAGGATGAAAAATTTGTGTAGATTCCCCTGGATACCAGCCACCATTGACACCTCTAACAACATAAAACTTACAGAATGTAAAATTCAAAAACTGCTTATGGCAGAAACAGTTCTCCCATGGCCTTTATCAGAAGCATCTCTCACCTTGGCATGCCCCTTAATGACCGGTGATGGCTTGTGGAAGGTTTATCTGGCCTCATAAAGCTGTCTCCTCTCTGCAAAGCAGAAGGCCCCAGAGAAAAGATGGGAAGAGTAGAATATGGTTTTGATGGCAGGCGCATCTGTCATGGTGGTAAGAAGAATAAAAATACGAGAGATCATTATCCAGAGACCCTGTGGACTATCATGCAGGTTGCTCTATCTCTGGCATATTCCCAGTGGTGTTGGCTATTTCTAGGTAAGTGGTTTGTGACTTCCAGGCACAGGTACAGTCTACAAAAGCACTACTCCCATAGTCTCCATTCACCTTCTATGAAGAATTCCACAGGAATCAAATGAAAACATGTTATAGCAACGCATATTGCAAATGTTATAAGCATAGGAATAGAATATGACCGCATGAGTACTAATGTATATGTGTAACATGCATTAGAGGCAGGGAAACTTGTAAACAGATACCTTTAACTTCACTGTTACGCAGGGGCAGGAAAAGCCACCCTCAGTGTGCAAGCGGCAGTGAGCTTCACTGTGCCACTCAGAGTTGGCACTGTCCCTCCTCACCCCATTCCTTCTCACTGACCTGACAACAACTTTGCCACCTCCCCTCACAGCCGGACAGCCCTCGTCCCACAGTTGAGCCACAGCTGATTTTTTAAAAAAGGTCTGGGGAGGGGGGATGCTGGAGCTGAGTGTTGCCATTTTGAAGGCGGTGCTAAGCTCTGCCCCCCCCCTTACTGGCTGCAAATAAAACTCTCACACAGAGGCTCTGCCTGCAGCCAGTGCACTGTTTTCCTTTTAAGCTTTTCTTTGCGCTGGGGAAGACTTGTGTGTCCCCCAAGCCATGCCTGGAAAGCTCTCAGATAAAGAGGGGACACATGGTGTGCCACTCAGAGGAGAATCCCTGTATGGCAATAGCTTTTATTTCAGTTTTATTTTTCTCGTTATGTTTTGTAGTTCCTTCCACATTTTTTAACAACAGCAACAGCAAAAGAAAAAAAACACACAACTGAAATGGATAAATGTAGTGAAGTCTTTAAAGTAGAGGGAAGAACCAGAAGGTTTTTCTAACCTTACCTTTTTACAACAATGTGAGCATACTGGCCTATAAAGGAAAAAGAAATACATGAGTCATTTAACTGGAAGGGCATCACAAGGTGTGTCTCTTCAAAAATTCTATATAATCACTTGTAAAAATGTTTCAAAAGCTATATCCTGTTTTTGAATCTCACTGACAATTTCATCTGTAGTTCAAACACCACCAGCCAGAACCTGTAGCTGGAAATGTTGTGGTAAGAAGGCGTGAATATATACTGGGGGAGGCGCTGGGGATGCCAAGTCCCCCCCCCAAACCCCAAGACTCATTGGGCAGGGCATGATGATGTCATATTGAATGCATGTACTAAGTGCTTCTACACACCACTAGAAGTCTACTGTTCATTTATGTTCTTCTGTCAAGAGATGTTGCAAGGCATGACTGTGGGGTGGGAGTGAAAATCGTGCTGGGAATGCTTATATACTGGGGGAGGCGCTGGGGTTGCCAAGTCCCCACACCCTAAACCCCAAGACTCATTGGGCAGGGCGTGATGATGTCATATTGAGTGCATGTGCTGAGTGCTTCTACACACCACTAGAAGTCTACTGTTCATTTATGTTCTTCTGTCAAGAGATGTTGCAAGGCATAAGACTGTGGGGTGGGATTGAAAATCGTGCTGGGAATGCTGTGGTGGAGGTGGGGGTGGAGATAACAATCAGTGTCTTTAAAAAATATGGATGAAAGTGAAAAAGAGAGATTTGTAAATTACACCTGGGTGCAAACTGTTTTCTCCTACCCAGAAAGTCCTAGAAAGCAGGTTTCTGGAGAAGCAGCATATACATTTTCTAAATAAATAACCCCTTAATACCAGGAATATGTATGTGTGGTTGGTGTGCAGTGAAAGAAAAACACTCCTCATGTGTGCAGTGTTTGCAGTCTCAGAATTCTTGCTTTGAATTAATTACTTTTTCTACAGGGAATATTTCTGAAACTTATGCCAGCCTATATGTCTTTAGTTCTTTAGCCCAATTCCAGATTCACAGAGAGGTAAGTACTAGAGTTTGACAGTGGTTACTCACTGATCATTCTGAACATGCTCAGAGGCATATGTTCTTTCAAAAGGGCACATTACTACAAAATGGTTTGCAATTAATGATTAAAACTAGATTCCAGGCTTAGTAAAAACTGGGCATTCATACTTCTGTTCATGCCCTTTTGCTAGCTTCACTGACTTCTCCACTACAAACCGACTAGGGAAGCCAAAAATAGTATAAATCTCAATCCATTTTTCTGTCCAATGTTCTCAGAACACTGAGGATATCAAAGTGGTCAAAAGGACACCTGAAAGGTTCAAGGGAAAAAAAATATGGGACAGAATTGGTCAGGAAGGGGTTAACTGACTCAACTCTAGCCATTTTGGAGCTTCTCCCCTCCCATGGGAATTTAGGTGGGGTGGGGGAGAGTGTGACATATTTCTGGAGGAGGGACATTGTCCAGACATGCCCTGGCCACTATGAACCTGGCTGGAAGAAGGATCAGGCTTCAGAGAACTATGTACAATGTGGGGATGTTTTTACGTCAGCTCTCTGACATGCCCAATTTCTTTCTTCAACATCACACCAGAAGGTTCCCTAACTTTTGGAAGTAGCTTGGAAGGGGTATATGGGTCTTGTGCTTCCACAAGCAGCAATAAAGGTTTTTCCCAGCCTCTGGAAGTCACAAACTAAATAATATTTGTGACAACTTGCAACATTTCTGCTCTCCTAAATGGAAAATTAATCCTAGATGTTGGGCCTCAGATCCCCCACTGAGAGTCTACATGAGAATTCTCTTAGTTAATGGGACTTGGAAAGGGCAGACTGCACAGTCTCTTAAATGGCCATTACAAGAAACTACCAGAAACTTTCCTCTTAAGTGCAGTATGGAAGTCAGTATCATGACATTTATAGCTTTATAATGTTTATCACATGAGTAGTTTCTATTAATGAGTCTGTGCAGGCTCCAGGGACCCATTTCCTGCTATTAAGAAAGAAAGATGCTATGCTGGGAAGAATTTGGAGAAACTTGGGATACTATGGAATTCGTATAGATATGTTTCTCTCACTGTCTGGCCCCTTAAAAACATTTCTTTTTCTCCATCTGCCAGTCTGGTGTAGTGGTTAAGTGTGCGGACTCTAATCTGGGAGAACCAGGTTTGATTCCCCACTCCTCCACTTGCACCTGCTGATGTGACCTTGGGTCAGTCACAAGCTCGGGTCTGTGCAGGCTCCAGGGACCCAGAACTGTTAATCCATTTCCTGCTATTAAGAAAGATGCTATGCTGGGAAGAATTTGGAGAAACTTGTGATACTATGGAATTCGTATAGATATGTTTCTCTCACTGCCTGGCCCCTTAAAAAAAACTTTTTGTTTATCCACCAGCTGTATATATTTCCACAGAATCTAAAAGTATCTTTTTATTCTATTTAGCTTGCATATTATAACCTAAAGTAAGTACAATATAGGCTTATCCTCTAGAAAAGTACAAAAATTGCCTTGTTCAGTCTTTTTTCTTCCCAGTTACATTATCTTCACTTTTTCCTCTCTCAGCTTCAAAACGAACAAAATGTGGAAACAAGTGGTACAGTGAATGAAACAAAATACTAGTCCATCAAGGAGTTGGTTTAAGAATTGTAACTGGCACTAAAGGCTTACCTTTTACAAAACTGACAGGTATAGGACCAGGTGAAAAAGGAAAACCTCCGTGTTCGGCAACAGAAACAGAGCTACAAAAATTGAGAAGAAAGGAGTCCACAATATTAGCACCTGTTTCTGGAAATCAACTTTGATATATCTAAATAGGAGCACCACTAGAGAAATTTAGCCACCCCTTTGACTGATTTACAGCAGTCTTGTTTACTTGGAAACCAGTTCCACTACTTCCATAGAAGCCTACTTCCAAGTAAATGCACAAAGGATTGTAGCTCTAATCAGGGCAATAAAATTTGTTGAAAGGAAGGTGTTTCCCCATTTATACAGTAATTGTGGAAATGCATCCAACAGTTAATTCAGAATACTGATGGTTGAGTTCTCAAATACAGTTCTTATTTGCTATTTGTGGAGACTCTAAAAACACCCAAATTTCTTATCTACACTCCACTCTTAGTTCTCTGCAAAATGAGCAGAATCAGTCATACCTTTCCTTTCTTGAGGGCAGTATAGACATCTTTATACTGCTGGTATTTCTCTAGTTCTGCCTTCACTAGCACTTGGCGGATGTGCATTACTTCTTCCACTGTGAGAGCCAGGCATTCCACTGGGTAACAAAATTCTTCCTGTAAATCAAAAGTCTCTATTACGTAAGCAGTTCATAGTGTCTCCCAATAACCTGTCTACAGAACCAATCACCTGGTTAGTAATCTGACCAAAGAAAGAGTTCACCATCCACACCAGGAGAGTATTTTCTGGTCCATAGGCATCATGAGTTTCAAGCCAGCTAAGAGTTTGGATACCTAAATGCTTCAACAACATCCATTTAAGCCTCTGTTGTCATTTGTCAAGCCCATCTCTATTGTTTAAGTTTTGTTTCATAACTTAAAGATCTGATGTGCAAAGATGCAAAGCAATGCGGCTTGTAACTGAAAATACACATGTTTATTCTCACCAAAGTTTCTTTGATACTCTGATGCCTAGGGCAGCCTAAGAAATTATTAGTACCCCAAACCAAAGAATTCTTTATTCTGTGGTATCACATCAGTGACAGGTAAATCTAAATATCTAAGTATGTATAGCTGCCATCATACAGATCCTCTTTTCCTCATAGAAGGTCAGCAACAGTTTTTAAAACTTCAAACATCTTTATACCGCAGGTTATAATAGCAGAACTATTCCAATACTGAGATGTTTGTGACAAAGAATAAGTATATACCGCTGTCAGAGGAGTTTACCAGCACAGAAAATCCTGAAAATATTTTACATAAGTGAGAGTATCCCATCTGTATAAATGGTACCACAGAATAAAAATGCATATTCCCAATTATAATTCAGCTCTGTTACTGATTGCATAGATCTAGGTGAAAGACAGAATTCTCTTGGCATATTCCAACCATTTTATGCTTTGCAATTAGATCTGCACTCTGGCATGTAGCACCATCTCTGCCTTGCCGTAGGGCAGCTCACAAGACTAAGAGACAGAGATATGTGCATGGAACACCTACCAGTGATCCCTGGCTGAGCTAGGACTTCAGTTAAGGTCCACGCCCAACACTGATCTGGTAAGGAATTTTGCCTGTACATGTAAGCGTACTCCTACAGATTTGAAAATCCAGTTACCAAACCAAATTTATAATTCAGATCACTTACAATTTATTTTGTTTTACATAGCCTTTACATTATTCTGTCTTTCAGTTAGAAAGAAAAAAAATCAGTTATGACGCAGACCTGACAAACATAAGCATTTAGGAGTCACCAAATTTTGAAGAACTGCTGCCTTACCTATCTAGAAAGGGAACATAAAGACACTCCATCCTGCTTAAGGTATTCACAGACATCTTAAAATTGAATTAAACTTCCCAATGGAATCATTCACTTGTTTTCTTGGTTTTCTGGAAAGTCAAATTTCAGCACAGCTTGCTTTGAGAGTTACTGTGCTCCAAAGAAAATGAAATGCCTCTCCTTACTGAACTGCAGAGATCAGTGATACCGTCTTAGGGTTAAACTAGATGCAGCAGCTGCAGACTTATTTTTTAGACATGAGAATGTTCCTATCACTTATAAAGCAAGGGGTTGGGATCTGGTTACTGGAGCACAAGAGGGAAAGGGAGACCCTACCCTGTCCTTCCACAAACACTTTTGTCCTCAGCTGAACTCTGACACTGGAAATGAACCTAGAAGGGAGAGAAGTACTTGGGGCAAGAAATTGCATAAAGGTAAGCAACTGGTGGAACAGGGCAAGTTCATCTCTCCTCATTCATTTTTCTTTAAAAATCTGACACCCCCATATATACACCCCCCAGGCTTAAACAACTGGGGCAGACATTATCATATATTTTGTTTGGTCCTTAGTTATGGTTACTGAATCTCTGACAGGGGTAAGAGAAAGGAAGATTGAGAGAAAGTTTATGGCAGAAGATCAGGATGCCCTATGCTGCACTGTTTATTCTCACTCCTCAGTTCTACATGTGTCTGTCTGTCATCTGAAGAGCGAGCCTGGCTGGGATTTTATCTATCTATCTATCTATCTATCTATCTATCTATCTATCTATCTATCTATCTATCTATCTATCTATCTATCTCTCTATCTCTCTATCTCTCTATCTCTCTATCTCTCTATCTCTCTATCTATCTATCTATCTATCTATCTATATCAGACTCCATTATAACATCAAACACAGTTTTTGATTCTGGGAAATGTTTGAGAAACAGTCTCTTGAATTAAATGGAAATTTCTTCCTTGTAAGTATTAGGATTACACTGTAAAGGCTGGTTCACAAACCATTCTTTTTAGGAACACATCTAAGGTTTCAGGGTTTTTTTAAAAATATTTTTTTATAAGCAGAATGCATGAATCAGACAAGCATGTTTTTAGAAGCACATATATCAAAAGTGCCAGGCTTTGTAGCGCTCCTCAGCAGGCCAGGATTTCCTGGAGCTCTGTTCAGTGGCAAACCCAGTTTTGGTGCCATTTGCTGTATAGAATGGCCCTAATATTGCTCTCTATAAAGGAGATGTTCTAAATATTTGCTTTCCGTGGCTATCACTACTGATAGTGGGCAATTAAAAGACCAATTAATGTACACTTTATTAGATGTTGCTTACTGTGTGCTGTTCTGGAGGCTTGAATTAGGTATATAACCGATGAAGTACAAGCCACAAATATGCTAATTTTTCTTTCTCATTTAAGATTCTAATTTGTGATGTTATTGTATAGTAGGAATAGGAAGCTCATATATGTTTTCTTCTTGCAGTCATAAAAGTTTTCTTTTAAAAAGTGTGAAAAACATACAGGCAAAAGGAATAAAATGCACAAATAAGAATGCTTTTATATTTGGGGTTAAACAAGGACAACCAAACTGCAATGCAACATGAAACAATTTTTGTGTAAAAAAACCAAATTGTTTGAAGGGCAAAATTTGACTAGTTGAAATGAGATTCCATATGAACTAAAAATTATTTAAACCAAGTTATGGAACAAAAAAATTATTAAAAGTAACATTCAGCATTAATGTTTCAAACATCCATACATAAGCCATATCATGTTCATGCGGATTATATTTAATTGAGAATATGACAACACTACTCAAGAGGTTTTCAGACATGGTAGTATATATCACACTCAGTGAATTACGGAATATTAATTATTGTCTGGATTTGAATCAATGCTACTACTGAAGATAACTGTGTATAGTATAAACGCTAGCAATGCTGGGTTGGATCCAAAGACTTCTGCAAACAGAGAGGCACTTCTGGTCACATGGGGGAGGGAGGGGTTTTGCCAATACCTGCTGCTTCCCATTGCAGACCACCTTGTTGTACCCTATGCACCCTAAGGGTTCACTGACTCCCCAGAAGCTGCACTTTGGAAAGCCCAGCAGGCTGCGGTAGGAAGTGGGATTTGTTCTGCCTGCAGTCCTTGGGATCCAACCCATTGAACGTAGAATGGCACAGGATCTGTTAGAAACATCTGGCAGGGCATTCCAGGATATAGTATACAACCTGAAGACTGAGAAGGGAAATGACTTCTATGGTGATGTTAACTCAAGAAGGGCCACCAAGTCTGTAGCTGAAGGAGGTTTTTCATCATGCGATTTTTAGTAGGCCTTCACTAGTAACTTTGCACTTCTCACAACATAGGTCAGGTTTTAAAGAACTTTAGAATTAGTTCTTTAAGCCTTAAGTGCTTGTTCTTTACCAATAGCAACCTCCATTTTTGAATGCAAACTATTTGTGACACTCAAAGCAGTTTGATATTTCTGGGAGCCAGCTGTCAAAAGAAAAACAAGTAAAAGCTTATCCTGAACTAGCCTAAATCCCCTTGTATGAGCTTAGCAGTTCTTTGGAGCCTGATCATTTTTATTCCAATAATATATTAATAGCACTTAAAACAATGTAAAACCTGATTGCAAATCACTATCATTGTGTAACATTTCTTGCACAATCTCTATTGAAATGTATGAGAGTGGCATCAGAGCACAGACATGCTCTTGCTCTGTTCTCATTAATGTCAACAGCCCCCCCCTTTCTAAATATCTAGTAAAGTCAAACTTTATTAGCTATGAATGACATTTTCAGTATGGAATCACTGACTCATCAAGGATTGTAGCTACCTTAGAAGTACCTCAGAATCCTATAGAAACACAAGAAGGGAAAAAGCCATCTGTCTTTCCCGCACATTCAAGGCAAAACTCCAATGGGAAATTGCTTTTACAGAAAGGTGATATGGGTGTACCTATCTGGGGAAGCCCCTCAGGACTCTGAGGTCCTTGGCCACCTGCCCAATTAAATCCTGTGGCTTCAGTCACAAATAGGAAGTTCTGCACTCTGGTTGTCATCTTTCCTACCCTGCCACTGATCAACTGCATCAGACCTTTTCCTTTGTCTTAGGAGGGCTTGGACAGGTGGAAGGGGAATCATCCTAGGCCCATTCAAGCGGGGGTTCAAATATGCTATTGGAAGCCTCACAGATCTACTCCCTTCTAGTTCCAGAAGATGTCTTCCTAGACTGTCCTCCATTGCTCCTGGCAACCAGCCGAGCCTGCTTCCTGTTGTGCTGTCTTAGACAGTCATGTCTAGTTGCCGGGGCTACAGCCCTGTGTGTTTGCCCAGGCTGGAAGGCCAGCTCTCCTTGGCTTTTAGCAGCACATCTCTGCCCACTCACTTTCCCCTTGTTCTGGGACTATACCCCGATCCCCCCACCCACTCATCTCTCCAGATTGCTCCCTGTGTTTCTGGTAAGGTGGGTGCCAAGAATTTCTGGTAGGTTATAAATACAACTCCTTCCCCTAAAGGAACCCTTAGACTGGTGTACATATGAGTTATTGCTAATCTCACCTTCTCTGTGCACCCAGTGTGCTATGTCAGTAGGCCAGGGTCCTTGCTAATGAGATAGTACTAATGACTGCTATCAGCCAGAGCCAGTTCTACTAGATGTGGCATTTTGCCAGTGGGAGGGGGCGTTATATCCAGTCTTCCAATGCTGCTATGGTGTTGCAGTGGCTTACTGGATAGGACTGAAAATATCTCAGACAGAACCTGTATTCTCATGAAAACGAATACAGAAATTATATTAATTCAATAAAATATTGTAAATATTATTCAGGGCCAGGTCAATAAAAAAGTACCTATAGAATGAAACCTATATTATAAATGAATTTGGGGTAGGGTCTAAAGGTTTTTATCTCCAATCATTCAATAACATTAGGGGAAAAATCATGAACTCGTTGCTGGAGAAAGATGTCCAACAATTCAGATCTACTTAAATGAACAACCTTCATAACCACAGATGCTTCTTAAACATCTTTGTTTTATTAACTCTGTTTAAACATTTACTTTCTGTCTGCACCAAAAATACATGGAACAATTTATAAAAAATAGAACTTCTTCCCTATGATGTTGCATTTTTAGTTTGCTGTCCTTTCACAAATGATTTCTGTTCCCCAGCAAATTGATTAGATAATCTACACATGCAATAAGATGTTGAAATCAATTAGAATCTAGTGACAACCTAAGATGTTAATTCTGTCATGGTTTAGGAAGCTCCTCCCACTCTTGATCGAAAAGAAAGATGCATATAACCAGGGTTTCTAAAGCCAGCAGAACAAGGCAAACCTTTGGGGGTTTCCACTTGTTGTTAAAAGCCTTCTCACACAGAAAATATATAGTCCTCACCACCCCAAACAGGGCTACTTCAAAAAGATGGGAGCTAAGATGAGAGGCAGTATGTATGGTTGAAAATTGTGTTTTGAACATCATCCTTGGAAAGAAACTTGTTATCCTGGGAACCTGAACAACAGATAGGAAGTAGAAAAGGACATGCTGAACATTAATAATAAATAAAGTGTTTATCAGGGCCTTTGGATCACATAACCCAAGCTGCAGTACTACTAGTTCCATCAGCATACTAGGAAGCTAGTTCAAAATGAGAAGGTTTTCCTGCTAATTCTGTTAACCCTCCCCCGCAACTTTTCACTGAAAATGAGAAGCATTTAACAATGACGTCTCTTTCATCTTTGCCATCATTCAAGCAGAAGATACGCAATGAAATTCCATCAATCATGAGAGAATGGGTGAGTAAGCATGGCGTTGCATTTAAACAGTAATACCTTCAGTTTATCTGTGCCATTTTCTTCATAATCAGTGCAATCCTAAGGAGAGTTAGTCCATTGAAATGAATGTGCTTAGACTGAAGTAACTCTCTTTTGGATTGTACAGAATGTCTGTAGTCATTGAATTGAAGTGTTAAAACTATAGCTTTAAAACAGATGAGGCAATCCTTAACAGTGCAAAACTCAATTCAATGACAGTAGTGGTTAAATTACTTTACAGAACTTTCTTTAAATGTTGATTTGGAATAGTTGTCATGTATTTCCCCTAGGGGGCATTATTGAACAAATGACATATAAAGCAGATAAAAAACATTGCCCCCTCATATCCCTTTTCTCTCACATCACCTTTGGGTATGGTATGAGTCACAGTTATATACAAAAACGGATGCAAAATGTATAAGACTAAATGCATTATTGTTTGACTGTTTATTTTACCGCCACTAACATGTTGCTTACTGAGTCACCTACTGATCACAGTCATGCATCCTTCTCTCACACATGTATATGAATCTCCAGTTGCAGAAACAGGCTTGAACTGAGTCTGTCACTTTATATGAAAAAGCACAATGACAAGCTGGGCAGTAATGTTCTTTGGCACACACAAACTTTAATAATTTGTGCATATTACTTTGTTTACAATCCATTAGGTGTAATAATAATTTTCTTTACATTTCTGCTTTATTTGGATTAAATCAACTATATTTTGTCTAGATTAATTAAATTACTTATACAAAGCCTCCTCCCTGTCATAAAGACCAAACAACAACATAATTAGGATGCTGTTATTTAGAAGAAGAAAAAGAAGAGATTGGATTTATACCCCGCCCTTCACTACCCGAAGGTGTCTCAGAGCGGCTTACAAACTCCTCGCCCTTCCCCTCCCCACAACAGGCACCCTGTGAGGTGGGTGGGGCTGAGAGAACTCTGACACAAACTGCTCTTTTTCAAGGACAGCTGTGCCAGAGCTTGTGACTGACCCAAGGTCACATCAGCAGGTGCAAGTGGAGGAGTGGGGAATCAAACCCGGTTCTCCCAGATTAGAGTCCGCGCACTTAACCACTACACCAAACTGGCTTTATAGCAGTATAAGATGTAAACATATTAGAAAATTTATGAATTCAGACATGTAAAATTCCTGCCATTGCTTTGTCTGTTCACAAAGGTTTACTTTTTTTAATGAGTTATTACACCCATACTTCTTGTTCACTCTTATCTTAGTTCAACCTCATAAAGTAGTAAAGTAGCCTCTACCCAAGAGGGACTGTTAAAACCAAACTCGCACCAGTTTGCAACTCATAGTAATATAAGGCAACAAGAAACCTGGGTGTCTTGAGTGAACTTAAATAAGACAGCAGGAAATAAAAAGAAACAACTAAAATGATCCCCGAATAATAATTAAAAAAAAGCTCCAAAAAAAGCACAGCCTCGAGTGTCTTTGCAATATCATACCGGAAACTGGAAGTCAGATACAGCTACAAATCTAGTTTGGGGTTTTTTTTAAATGCTTGTCTTAAAAAGAGCATAAGAGATTCAATAAATTCTTCAAGTAGTAAAAAGGTGTGGTGGATAAAAAGTAGAAAATGTCTTCAGATAATTCTGAACAAGGATGGGACATGATTTTTTTTTAAGCACAAAGGTTTTTCAGGTTTAAACGAGAGCAGAATCATGGTATGACATGTTCATCTGAAATGTCAAACACTCACACACCTTACAATTGTAGATCACGAGACTGGTGCCTGTGATAGGCCTTAGTGAAAACAAATTTTTGTATTATGTAGAACCGCTTCAATTTTCCTGTACGTTGATAATTTCCTTCATTCATTTTTAGAATGTTCTCTCTCCTTCTGAGGTGTAAAATAATTGCTCTCCTAAACTAACTTGGGGGATCCTCTTGTGCTGTACTTTTCATGCTGTACTGACAAATGAGCTTAAGCTTACTGTACCCCACTCATCTATGATCACAAGCTGCACTCAAGTTAGAACAGTATGACAAAAATGCATTTGAGCTCTTGTGGGGGAAGGGAGTTGTCCTCTATATTAGTGAAGTGTATTAATTAAGACCGACCAACCTCAGCTCCTTGAAGAGCTGGCACCAAAAACATAGTCTCCTGAGCCAAAGAAAAATAAGGTCTCACTTTGAAGCCAATCAATACTACTCAGAGGGCTCAAAGAGTTGGCACATACCCGCTTTTCTCTCAAAATCAGAATTTTTCTTTCACTCTATCTCTTGTCTAAAGGGTTCTTAAAGGGCCTTTTGGCAAGGAACGAGAGACCAGAAAGTGAATTTGGATCTCTCAAATGAAATTGAAAGGCATTTAAGTACCCTGCCAGCTCCAAGGCAGCATTCTGTTCCCCTATGACACTTACCCAGTCGGAAAACTGCTTTCAATTAGAGCCAACTGACTGAATGTACTTTCTTTTCAAGTAGAAACACTTCTTTTTTTTTGCCTCAATGGATTCAATATTACATTATAATCACATGCTGCTCTAGGCTCCTTAATCCAACTAACTTTAAACAAGTTGGTGGGGGGGGAAAAATCTCAAACTTCAGTAATAGACTAAAGTGCTGGAAAAATAGTAAAAAACTTCTTTTTCATTTTGAACACTAGTAAAGGTCTGCTGTTTGGAAACCATATTAGTTCTATCAAAGTTCATCAGGACTTAACCAAGGTGTTGAAAATCTGGATAAGAAGGTTCAAAGCTGTCTATTTCGGAAGCTTCCTTTCAGTTCTTTCAAGACAAAGCCCAAGTGCTGATCCAAACTCCCTCAAAAGTTCAAGACGGTACAGGATCTGGGGTTTAGTCACAGCAGTTTTATGTGTCATTTTGCTCTCTTCATTGTTGCGGAGCTGCTATATCTGTACTCTTCAGCCAACCCTGAAAATAATCTACCATGCTACTTACAAGGGATCTGGAGCTCTGTTTTGTGGGTGGCAGGAACTGTCGCACGTTCGTTGGTGTTTCTTTTTCAATGGAGTGTCGCCTCTGAGGTGGCTGCCTCCTCTCTGGCTGCGGCGTGGATGATATTGGCAAGAATTTTGGAGGCACTACAAGGTTGATCAGCATTAATTAGTTCCAAAGCAGCAGTTCAAATGTCAAAGGAACATTAATGACAGAGTACTGGCCATCCAGCACTGTTTTCTGAAGAGACTGTGGTAATGCTTTTACAAACTAAGTGCACCAAGTATGGACTGTAATTATTGGCATACTAATAATGTAACCTGAAAGATCTTTATTGTGGTGGTTTTATCCTGCTAAATAAAGTCACCTCATGACATTGGCTTGGCTCCACCAGAGCATTTACATGAGGGGAAGAATTCTGGCACATGGAACACAAGTTTCTTGCCTTCCTACCTTCTGCTGCAGCCCAGAATGCCCCCCTGAAATGCAGTTCTTGGGGTAGGAACAGCAAGTGGGGGGAGCATTTGGGGCTGCAGTGGGAGGGTAAGGCAAGAAAGTCATGCTCTGCAGTTGAAATTCCTTCCTCCCTCCCAGAAAAGGATAGACCCAAGCCAATGTCAACTGAGGTACCTTTTCATTGAACAACTAGATCATCTCTCTGTTTATAAAGGATCTAAGAAAAATTCAGAAAGAACAGCTTCCAAGCCAAAATATAGTAAGATTCCCCTGTATTTCATTTAAACTGAAAAAAATTACTAAAATGTTAAGCTAAAGCTTTTTGCTTTATATTACATCTCGGTCCTACAGATCCTTATTATTGTGAGTAACTTTGCTAAGGCAGACACAGCAGGGACCCTCCATCTAAAGGAGGAGAAGTGATAGGTATTGCTCCCTGCCAATACTATTCCCATCTGAATAAGTGAACTGTAAAAAAGAAATATGCTGTTGCACTGAGATACCCCTCGCCCTCCATCCAGTGTTAATCCTGTGCTGCAGGTAGCCCAGTGTCAGGCACGGCCTCTGTACAGTACAGATGGACCATACAGTGCAAAGGCAGTGCTTGCCAACGTGTTGACAAAGACTGCCCCAAAATGCATTGCCATAGGTTCTTCTCATACTGCCAATGCAAACCACAAGCTTAAATCATGTCACTGCAGGATAACTGCTGCCTCACGCTAGAAACTCTGGGGATGAAGCATCAATGGCTAGGAATGAGCAATTTCCCTCTGAAGTCACAGGGAGTTCTTTGGAATGGGTAATATATATAAAAGAAAAAGCTTGGAAAGTGAAACAAAGGTGATAGAACTTCCCACACAGTCTAAATATCTGTGATTGCACAATTTCATGTGGTTTTTCCCAGTGGCCACAAGACGAGGTGCACTTCAGTATCTGACCCCCCAGTAACCTGAACACTGTACTCCATAGACAGACAGAAGGTGTGATGTACTATGGAAGTCTAAGCTATTATCTCTCCCAGCCAAATTGCTTTTACCATTCTTTAGCTTGACTGTTCTACCTAGACTGTAAACGGAGGCTTTGGGAATCCAAGACAGCCTCTGTATCCCAGACATGTGTTATTTTACCTAAAGATGCCAATGGATTCTGAATAGCAGATTCTAGCTTCTGTTCAAGTTCATAATTGATTCTTGCTCTCATATCACTCAAAGACTGCTATTATCTACTCCTTTGTCCTGCCCCAGACCAGACTCTCTGGCCAGCAGAACCTCATTTTAATCGTCCATGAAAACTCATCCTACAATAAAACTGCTGTTCTGTAAGGATCTGAAGTACTCTGTTGTTTTACATAAACTGGATGTTCCCTTGCCTGAGCTATCTGTTTCACAGGGGTTCTAGTATTTAACAATTAGCACAATTCTTATTTGAATGCTGAATTCTTACCCTTTTTCCCAGAGGTTCCTGGAAATGTATCTTCCATTTGAGACGGAGATATGCTACTGCTACTAGCTGATTTACGTATAGTCTCTTCCTAGAAGAACAAACTGAGGCTTTAGAAGTTTTGACAATCCTACTTTCCACCACTTACAAAAATAATATAGTTAAATTCAAGTCCAGTGACATCCTTGACATCAACAAGATTTTTGGGGTAAAAGCTTTCAAGACTCCCTTCATCAGATGCAAGTAGAAATGGAGATCTCTGAGTCTTTATATCCCAGTCAGAAGGTAGGAGGGATGTTGTAAAAAAGGAATTCAGGGTGCAAAGGTACAATGCATACAGTAATCAGCTTGATTAGAGTAGAGGGGAAACGTGTGGGGGCAGAAAATTAGCATTTGTAGTGAGATAAGAATCTTATGTCACTATTCAGCCCTGGAGGGTTCATTGTTCTGAATTTGTTCTGAACTCAAGTTGAGCAATCTCATGTTGTAATCTCCCCTTGAAACTTCTTTGTTTGAGGACTACCACTCTTAGGTTAGCAACAGAATTACCTGGATTTACATGTTCTTCTGTTTTTTGAGTGCTGTGGTTTTTATGTTGGATTTATGCCCATTTATTCTCTTGTGTAGAGACAGACCTGTTTGTCTGATATAGACAACTGAAGGGTATTGCTGACATTTGATGGCACATATAATGTTGGAAGATGAACAAGTAAATGAACCTGAGATGGTATGGCAGGTGTTATTAGGTCTAGTGATTAAGTTGTCAAAGTGGATATGGGGAGAGAGTTGGCATCTTGGTTTCTTTCAGGCCCTGGTACCAGAGTTTGGGCAAGAAAACATTTGTCTCCCAATGCCTGTGAGAGGGGAGTATCATTGTCCAGCATAGTTGTAAATCATTAAATGATGCAATGAACCGCTGTGAACTAAGAGCTGTATGTGACTGCCAGTGGAGTTCTGTTGTTGTTTCATTTGGGCCTCTGGTGTAGCAGGTTATCCCCTTTGTATCATTCTGAATTTGTTGTTCTGTTTTCTTACTACATCAGGTGGGTATTGTAATTCCAGGAATGTTTATTGTAGCTCCTGCAGGTGAAAATCTCTGAGGGATTAGAACAGATGTGGCTGTAGCATAGAGCTTGGCTGCAGACAATAGATTATTTGGTATGTTTAGCATGGTGAAGAGAGACACGTAGATATGTTTGGTGATCAGTATGTCTCCAGTGTAAGGTGACTTTTATGTTTCCATTATGTATTTGTACAGTGGTGTCTAGAAAACATACAGGCCTGAAGCCAGGATTTTGTGACTTGTGGGGCAATTTTTTTTCTGGTGGGGCTGAAGTTCTCAGTGCAGAAAGAAAAACTTAGCCAATAGAAAGCTGTTACCAGGATAGATATCTAAATTGCAAGCTGTCAACCACTTCAGATGACAGTTCTCAGCTGCTGCAAGTTAATCACTTCTGCTAGCCTAAGGAACAATTCTGATAACAAGCCAGCAGGTGGGGGTGATGACTTCTATAGTCAAGAAAGCTAACACTTAGGCAGAAAAACTCTCTTAAAGGAGACCAGTTTCTGGACACAGAGGTCACCTGTGTCCTAGAGGTCACCTAATCCAACCCCCTTGCTCAGTGCGGGAATTAGTAAACTACAGCACCCCACTCTGCTTACAGGAGCGCACACCTTAAACATGTTTTAAAATGATTGAAAAAAGCATTTACAGAAGAAATTCTTGTGGGGCTGTGCCTTTAAGAAAGGGGGCAGAGTCCCCAAAAGCCCCACCGTAGCTACGGGCCTGAAAACATATTTCTTGCATGGACTGGTTCATGGTCAGGTTGATGGTGTGTGTTGGGGGGGGGAGTTGCTGAAGGACACGTGAAATTTATCTAGTTCTTCTTTCCCATGTGTCCAAATGATGAAAATGTCAGAAATAAATTTCAGGTACCAGAGGGGTGTTAATGGATGGGAGATGAGGAAATACTGCTCCAGGTTAGTAATTAAAATGCTGACATATTGTGGTGCCATGTGGCCGCCCATGGCTGTGCCATGGATCTGAAGGAATAAATCTTCACCAAATCTGAAGTAGTTGCGGGTGAGAACAAACTGGCAGGTGTTCCTGAGTTCCTTCTTTACAACACCCCGCCCACCTTCTGACTTGGATATAAAGACTCAGAGATCTCCATTCCTACTTGTATCTGACAAAGGGAGCTTTGACTCTCGAAGCTTATACCCCTGAAATCTTGTTGGTGTCCAAGGTGCTACTGGACTTGAATACTGCAGACCCACAAAGCTACCCCCTGAAACTGACAATAATATAATATCACTCTTTCTAACACAAGTTGATGTTTGAACTTCAGTTAAGCCAGTTTGGTACAGTGGTTAAGTGCGCGGACTCTAATCTGGGAGAACAGGGTTTGATTCCCCACTCCTCCACTTGCACCTGGCTGGATGACCTTGGGCAAGCCGTCGTTCTGATAAGAGCTGTTCTTGAAAAAGAGCAGTTTCTCTCAGAGCTCTCTCAGCCCCACCTACCTCACAGGCAGTGTTCCCTCTAAGCTGAGTTAGTGTGAGCTAGCTCACAGTTTGTTAGGCTCCGGCTCACACCTTTCTGTCTTAGCTCAGGAAGGATGGCTCCAGAGCAAACTCATTTAAGCAGTAGCCAAATCGCTTGCTCACAACTTTAATGCCAGTAGCTCACAAAGTAGAATGTTTGCTCACAAGACTCCACAGCTTAGAGGGAGCATTGGGTAGTGAAGGGTGGGGTATAAATCCAATCTCTTTTCTTCTTCTTCTGAATACTGCCCAGTGTCACAGTGAAAAAGAGCCACCCACAGACAGGGTAAAGGCTTCTGCTTACTGAGGAACTCCCTAGAAGAATATTACGGGCTTGGATCATAACTTACTTTCCATTTGTAAGTTGACAAGAAGGCAACCGAAAAGAAAATTTGAGGAGCAGATTGCTAAAAACTTTACAAAAAAGAAAAGGCAAAGCATTATCAGAAGCCAGAAAACAGCCAGGGAGCCAGCTGAGCCACTGGATGACAAAGGAGAGAAAGGACTGCTTAAGGGAGGAAGGACAATGGCAGAGAAACGGAATGAATTCTGTGTTTGTTTCCACTGTAGAAAATGTAGGCCAGGTACCCACACTGGCGCCACTGTTCTCAGGAGGGGTGGCTGAAGAACCGAATCAAATAAAGGTGATGATGAGAGATGAATTTTTTACATAAACAAAGAATAAATTAAATAATGGACTAATGGACAAATTAAAAACAAAGTCTTTGGGTCTGGACTGCATACACCCAAGGGTTCTTAAGGAACTCAAACATGAAATTCTTAGTCTGGTTCTTATGTAATTTGTCACTAAAATCAGCTTCCGTACCAAGTGCCTGGAAAGTATCAAATGTAAAAGCAATTATTTTTTTTAAGTGATTTGGGAAATTACAGGTCAATCAGCCCAATGTCTGCTCTGGGTTACTAAGTGGAAGCTAGAATGATTAAGGTCATAGAAGTACAAGGCCTTCTGCAAAGGGAAGTCATGCCTCATCCAAAATTTCCGTAAAAGGATTAATAAACATGTTAATCAGGGTGATCTGGCAGACATTATATACTTAGACTTGCAAAAAGGTTTTGATAAAGTCCACATCCAAGACTCCTGAGTAAGCTTAACAGTAAAGAAATAAGAGGAAATGTCGTCTTGTGTATTAAAAACTGATTAATCAACACAAAGCAGAGCATAGGAGTAAATGAACAGTTCTTGCAATGAAAAACAGCAAGTTCCCACGAGAATTGGCATTGGGGTCATAGCATTTAACTTGTTCATAAATGACCTGGCATTGGGGGTCAGCAGTGTGACGGCCAAGTTTGCAGAGGATATCAAATTATTTAGAACAGTGAGAAGCAAGGTGGATTATGAAAAGCTCCAAGAGGATGGCTCCATACACAGCAAATGAAGTTCAATAAAGGCAAGGGCAGGGTGATGCATATTGGAGCAAAAAGGGTCTTAACTTTAAATACAGGCTAACAGAGCCTGAACTAGCAGTAACTCAGATGGAATAATCTGTGGGTTCTAGTTGTTTGTTCTATTAAAACATCAACTCAGTGTGTAACAGCAAAAGTCAAACTTCATGCCAGGGATTATTGAGACAAGGTATGAAAATAAAATGGCCAATGCTACAAAGCCCTTGTATACTTTGGAATACCCATACTGTTCTGGTTGCCATGTACCAAAATATATATATTGGTGGTGGAAAGTGCCATCAAATCGCAGCCAACTTGTGGCAACCCCATAGAGTTTTCAAGAGATGTTCAGAGGTGGTTTGCCATTGCCTGCCTTTGCATAGCAACCTTCTTTCATGGTCTCCCATCCAAATTCTAACCAGGACTGACCCTAATTCGTTTCTGAGATCTGATGAGATAGGCCTAGCCTGGGCCATCCTGGTCAGGCTGTATACTCTAGATGTACTTTAGGTTAAGTTTGTATTAAAAATTATATAGCTGAAAAAAGCACAGAAGCGGGCAACCAAGATAGTTAAGAGGTTAGGGCACCCAAGTGTCTATCCAAGCTTGGGGGAGAGGTATTACTCATTCTCTTGATGAATCCTAATTCAGCATTTGCACACTGAATTCTCCCTTTGAAGTTTTTTTTGTAGAACAAAAACGTTTAGTTTTGCAACTGTATGTCCTAGAAGATTAAAATGTTGGCCCACTGGTTAGAGCATCTTTCTAATGAGGAAAGACTGAACAGCCCAAGGCTTTTCAGTTTAGAGAAAAGATTACTTGGTGGTGGTGGGGAACATGATAGAAGTAGATAAAATTATACACAGGGCAGAGAAAGAGTATATCCTGAGCATAGGCTGGCACTGCCTGATATCTCACCTCTGAATCTGAGCTATCTAGTTCAGCCAATGTGGGAGCTTTCAGTAGTCTCTTCCGTTGCACTGTCAACTGAGCAGTGCCAATGCCGTTCACATTTGCTTCAGGTGCCAAGCTGCCATTCAGTACATAGCTTTCTGACACTTTTCTGGAGGTCTCTGGTGTGGATGCATCTAAAAAAAGAAAAGAACCGGAAGTGCTTGTGATGGCGTGTTAGATGAGGGCGTGGATGCTCCACTTATACCTTACTCTCACACAACAATTAATAAAGGTCTGCCACTGTGGTATTTAGCTTTTAAAAAAGATATGACAGACACTGATATACAATATGTATGTGACATGACAGAAAAGCATAAGGAAACAGAAATAGTGGGGTAACTTTCACAAATGCATCTTTAAAAAACAACTCTAATCCACATTATTTATTTGCATTTCTAGCAGATAGCAACACTTCAGTTCACTTTATTTCGATATAAAATCAGCTTAAAACCTTGCCACGTACAATACTAAGATCAGCACATAAATTTAAAGGTGTCATTATAGTCCAGCCTTGTCCAAGGACTTAGCCATCTGCTTACGTATGCTGCATGCCCTCATACAAAATTTTGCGATGTTGCAAGTTATTTCTGAAGAAAGATCGGAGAGAAGCATGGAGATGTAGAACTGCTCTGCTCTTCCTGGGGAATTTACTAACACTGGTGTGATATATTGTGAGCGAATGTCACTACAGAAGGGCAGTGTAAGAATACATGCTCTACAGTCTCAACCTTTCCCATTTGGCAGGGACACACCCATTGTGTATGAGGAATACAGAGGCCTCTGCCTTCCAGAAAGGCTGAGGGCAGGGCACTGAAGCATGTCAGAGTAAATATGCTTCTGTATTTAGGGACTTCTAGTGCTGTTAAATAATCTGCCAGCAAGAAAGGGTTTTTGGAAAGGTATGATACTGCAGGATGCCGCTGCAAGCAGGCCCTATCAGACTGAAGGGCCGGGTCCCAAATCCATTGCTTAAGTATTCCTTTGGCTTTCTGAAAGCCTAGATGTAACAGGGCAGAAAGGGAGAAACCGTACTCTTGCAAATTTTCCTTAAGGCACTCCTGCAGCTTTGATTAGGGCTCATGTACATTTAGTCCAGATAAGATTTTGGAGGAAGCAAACCAATGACTCCACCAATTTATTTCATAGGCAATGCTATGAAATGATGCTGCAAAAGGATGCTGCCCAGTTAGCCAGTTATAACAACATCCTCCATTGTTATTCCATACCTGATGACACCCAGGGTGTCCCTATAGCTGGTTTCAACATCTGGGACTGGGTGTTTCACTGTGATGCTGCAACAGATAGGTAGTCAATCTCTCATTCCAAATTCTCCCAATGGTTCAAATTGTTCAAAAGGGACCATGTTAGAGCCTCCTACTTGGTTAATATCCCTTCTCACAACCTCAGAATAGCCTTTACCTTGATTCAGTTTCAAATCATTCCAATGGCTCTGTTAGCTAGATGTTACTCCAAAATGCTGCAGGCCCTTCGCCATTGCATTTGCGGAGTCTGAGTTCTAGAAGATCCAGCACACTTACTATCCTGTCATCTGTATGCAGAGCCTAGAACCAAATTCCTTACAGAGCTTTTAATGGGTTTAAACTTTTCTTCAGATTCAGAGAAGCTGTTTTTTCTTCTCTCAGACAATGATCCATTTGTCTCTTATAGAGTTTAACTTTTTGCTTTAACAGCTAAGGAAATACGGGCTAGAGTTGTATCTAGAGTAAGGTTGCCAAGTCCATCTTCCACCCCCAGCGGGGGACTTTGGGGGCGTTCCTGGAGGGGGCGGGGCATCCCCAATGTGATGACGTCACATTGAGGATGTCCACCCCCCCCCCGCCCGTGCGCCAGATCTCCAGAAACGGCAGTTCCCTGCACTTAAAGGAGCCGGCATTTCCCTTTTAAATGCAGGAGCCGGCGTTTCCCCTTTAAGAGCAGCTGCGTTTCCCTTTTAAGCGCACGAAGTTGGCATTTCCCTGCAAGCTTGCGGAGATCAGGCTTGGGAGGAAACACGGGTTCCACACACTTAAAGGGAGAGAGATGGGTGGCTGTGGGTGTTGGGGCTTCCCTGCTGGCCATCTGGCCGGCGGTGGGTAGAACCCCCCCAAAACAGGGGACCCCTGGCAAACCAGGGGGGGTTGGCAACCCTAATCTAGAGAGAGTAATGTTTTATTTGATCAGTACCTTTTGGTTAGATCATTTTCACGCTGATATCTTTAATTACATTTTATGTGTGCGTCAGATTGTTTTATGTGTTCAGATTGTAACAGCCTTTGGCCATAGACAATAAACTTCATATAATGTATATAAAACTGTATAATGTAAACCGCTCAGAGCCCTTAGGGAGTGAGCGGTATATAAATCGAAGGAATAAATAAATAAATAAATTTACCTGTAACTGTTTAAGTTACCCAAAGTGATACGGTTGGGAGACTTCACCACCATCTGAAACTAGTTTGGCCTTGACATCTGTTGGCCTCACATGAACATTAGAACTCTCTCTACCTCTAGAATGCCCCAAACACTTGTAACACACATTCTGAACTATACCAGTAATGGCAGGGTATGTTTACAAATTCTCTAACACACCCTCTACACCAGGGGTGTCAAACATAAGGCCCAGGGGCTGGAACCAGCCCATCCAGGGCTTTTATGCGGTCCACGAGCAGCTGGTGCAAGGGAGGGAACAGGAGACTGCTCATGGCTTCAGCATGGCAGGACAACTTCATCTGCAGCAGTCAAGCAGCAGAGGAGTGTCTGTCCAGTGGTGCACTGCTGGCTCTTCAGTCCACCCATGTGGGTTTTCCTTTGCGTCCCCCTCCCAGCCCATGGGGCCTTGCCGTGAGGATACACCAATTCGGAGCTTGCCAGCTGCTGTCTTTTATACATTCTAACCCCAGGATCTGGCATTATGTTTTATGGCACACATGGCCTGGCCCGATAAAGTGACATTTATGTCAGAGCCGGCCCTCGTGACAAATGAGTTTGACACCTCTGCTCTACACTATTTCCTGGCTAGTAATGCACTGCCTATCTAACTGGAACAAAATGGACTAGCACTGGACTAAATGCCTCATCCTGCCTAAATCAGTAATACAGTCAAGTCTCCACCTAAAGATCTATGGTCAAATTAGAGATCTCAAAGCGCTGCATCCTTTAAACAGCAGTTTCAGATCAGGGCCACATTGGTAAGGGAGAGGGGTATCTGTATTTTGACCTTGAAGAGTTAACAACATGCAAAGCCCCTTGTTCTGATCATTAAGTGGTAGAAAGGTTCTTTTCCCCATCTTTCCTCCACACAATCCTCTGCTGCTGAAACTGTTCTTTGAAAATCAGTGGCAGGATCCAATCCCAGATCTCCCAATGTCTTATCTGGTTCGACCTTTAATATAACTAAGTTAACAAACCACAGAACAGAAAATGTAAGGTCCTGAATAATGCAAATACAAGGTCCTGCATGTCCTGAATAATGTGATCGATAGTTAAACACACACACAATCAACACAGTCAGCAACATGGCAGTCCACAGCTGGCTCCACATACCATCTCTTCCCCCAAGGTGCTGGGCCTGCTGATCAGCTGGGCTATGCCCAGCACTACCAGGGTGGGCTATGACACGGGGACATAAATGTATGTCTGGGACCTACAAGCCTTCCTGGTTCCTAGGTGTGGTAACTGGCAGTCAGATCACCTCCCCCAAGTGGTTGAAATGTGGCCACAGACATTAGGCAGTTTGTCAAGGAAATCAGAGCTGACCAAATCCTGGAAGCCGCATGAGGCCGGGGAAGTTGAGAGGTGTGTGTCGAAACAGTAAAGGACTGTTTAAACCCTCATAACTGAGCTCAAGATTGGACAGCCATTCTAGATAGAAAAGAGGGCTTTGGGTAAAGTATGAAATTCCCTATCCGAAGCCCTCAGGGAGCTGAGACGAGGCAAAATGGAAGGACCCCCTCATCCCCACAATGTCCAAAACTTCCAGGATTTGGTCAGCTCTGATTTCCTTGACAACTGCCTAACTTACCTTTTCTGAGCCACTAGGAAGTAATTTAGCTGCTGGTCTGCTGTGATGAACTTTCAGTCTCTTATACTTAAATGTTCAACATAGTTTTAAAATTGATTTTGTTTAAATCATGTATCTATCTTTTATAACTAGCCTCATTGTGGGTACACTAAGCTGAAAGGCAGGGTATACATTAAGTGCATAACCACATAAAAATGAAATGGAATCACCACCACCCAGAAGGATGACGCTGTGATCAAAACACAGCGTATGAGACAATAGATGCTTGAATTCTGCTCTGCCTTGTCAAAGCAGACAATGGTTTTCAATGCTTTTTAATGAGAAAAGGAAAGGAGAGCAATTGGTGTCTTTGTCTATGATCTGAGAAAGAACACAAAGAAAATGTGGGGCTTCAAGAAGATCACAATGCAATTCATGAATAGATGTTGATGCATGAGTGTGTGATGTATACACACAAGGGGCATTTACAGATCTGATATAGTCTTGTAAAGAACAAAAATTAAAAATCTTGAAATATGGTAGCACATGATAAACAGGCTCTGTTGGGGCTGGAGGAAAGAGGTGGGCCATTAGGCAAGGTGCCTACTATTCACAAGGAGACTCCGACCTCAGCTGGAAGATTTGGGGGTACCATGAAATTACAGCAAAATATCTAGTAATTATATTCTTAGGAGTGCAAGAACAGCATTAATTGCCTTACATTTTTAATCTAAGCTGTTTTATTTGGCAGCTGCCTCAGAAGTCTTCAGCTGATAAAAAGGGTAGAAATATTTTAAATAAATTAGTTTATTTAGGATTTAGTTTTAATAGATCATATAGTGTGCTGAAATGTCCAAACAAGCAAAAAAAACCCCAAACCCAAACATGATTGGGGGGAAGGGTCTTTGGGTTGGAAAGGATTAAAAAATAAGAATCCAATTATCATTTTGAACCACATAAGTAATCCTAATGCTAAACTCTATTAAACTACATTAAAATACAACCTCATAACAACAGTCCACTGTAAATCATTTTACTGGATTTTTAAATACTTCAAAGTGGCAGCCAGGAGCCAAGGTTCTGAAGCCCCCAAGCTGGACAAAGCACAAAAAGAGTTTGCAAGATCTGCCTGTG